CTGGCAGCTGCGCGCGCGAGCATGCGCGGGCTCGCGCGGCCGCAGAGATGCACCAGCCAACACCCATCACTCATCGCAATCGCTCGAGCATGGGTTTTGCAGACCAGGTTGCGGGTGGGTGGGTGGGATGATTGCGCGAACAGTGAAGTTGACAATTTCAAGTTCGGCAAATTTTTGCGCACCATACCACTGACACGGCTTCGTGCCCCTCGCACCCTTCCAAGCCAAGCCAGAGCCAGGAGGGTATCAGAACATGGTCCTGTTTGCACGGTTTCGTTCCCCTCCCACCCCTCTAGGGAGGCCTCGCCAAAGCGAGGGGGGTATCGGAACACCGTGCTATTTACACGGTGTCGTGCCCGTCCCACCCCTCCAGGGAGGCCCCGCCAGAGCGAATAGGGTATCGGAGCACCGTGCTATTTTGACGGCTTGGTGCCCCTCCCACCCCTCTGGGGAGGCCCCGCCAGAGCGAGGAAGATATCGGAACATTGTGCAATTTAGACCGTTTCGTTCCCTTCGCACCCCTCCTGGGAGGCCCAGAGCTAGTAGGGTATCGGAACACCGTACTATTTAGTCGGTTTCGTGCCCCTCCCACTCTTCCAGGGAAGCCGCGCCAGACCGAGGAGGGTCCCGACGACCGCCCTCCCCCCCCCTGCCCCCTCCCCGCCCGCCCCGCAGGCCGAGGGGGCGAGCGACGCGAAGTGCAGGCGGTCCGTCCTCGGTGCGCGGTCGAGGCGCGCGCGCGTTTGTGTTTGTCGTTTGTGTGTTTGTTTGTTTGTTCGTTTGTTTGTTTGTTTGCCGGGGGCCCCTTCGCTCCCTTCCTCCATCCTTTCCTTCCTCCGCTCCCTCGCTCCGCTCCCTCCATCGCCTCCCTCGCTGACTCGCTTGCTCCCTCGCTCCTCCTCCTCCTCCTCCTCGTTCCCCCATGTCCAACGTGGGCCTTCCTCCTGTTCTTCCTCCTCCTTGTCCCTCCCTCCCTCCTTCCTGTTGTCTTGGGCAAGTCATGGGGGCTGGGTCTTGGGCAAGTCATGGGGGCTGGATCCGCCAGCGGCGGCAGGACTCCCCCTCCTCCCTCCTCGGTTGCTGCTGCTGCTGCTGCTCTTCGTCCTCCAACTCTTGCCTGTCCTCCTCCTCTTCCTCCTGATTCCTGATTCCCGATGGCCTGAGAATTCGTCGAACGCGGCCCTCCCTTCTCTTCCTCCTCCCCTTCGTTGTCCTCCTTATCCTCCTGCTCCTTCTTTTCCTCTTTTTCTCCTCCTTCTTCCTCCTCCTCCTCCTCCTCTTTCTCCTTCCTCCTCCGTCATCCTCGATCCCCAGTCCTCCTCCTCCCCCTCTGTCCTCCTCGACCTCCTGCCTCCCTGGGCCGCCCCTTGGGCCCCTCCCCTGGTTTCTGAGTCCGCGGCCGCTTCAGACCGGCCAAAGGTACCACAGCCAGTACATGGACGTGGTCCGGAGCGTGCAGACGCACGTGGAGGCCCCGCCCGCCCGCCCCGCGACCCGACCGTGCGGCTCGCGCCGTCGCCCTCTCCCCGCCCGCGCCCGCGCCCGAGCCCGAGCGCGAGCGCGAGCGCGAGCCCGAGCGCGAGCCCGCGAGCCTGGAGCCCGGAGCCCGGAGCCCGGAGCCCGGATCCTGAGCCCGAGCCCGAGCCCGAGCCTGGAGCTCGGGCCGCGGCCAGGGCCGGGGCCGCTGCTTTCCCTCCCGCCCGCAGCTGCGCGTCGGAGCGGCCTCTCGCCGGAGTGGCCTTGGGGTGCGGGCGCGCTGAAGCAGTGGCGGAGCGTCCTGGCTTCCCTTTATGGGCCCAGCGAGGACTGTTCCGAGAGCCGTCTGAAGCCTGCACGGCATGTTCTTAGAACGTCTCGGGCTGCCGCCGTCTTGCCTGCACACATCGGCTTTACCTTCTGAGAACATCTCTTTAGCTCCTAGGGCATTGTTTTGGGTGCCACGAGCCTGTCGTGGTATGCCTGATAGGAATGCCGAGGCGGTTGGTCCCTGCTGACCACACCGGGGCCCCCAGATGGCGGAGTGCGCCGCGACGGCGGCGGCCTGCGCGCTCGGGCTCGGCCTCCCCGCGCCCCCCTCCCCTCCTCCCCCCGAGCACCGCGCGCCAAAGGTCACGCCTGCCTGGGGTCAGCCTGGAGCAGATCCCTATCCCTATGTTGGGCACCTCCTCGTCACGATGCCAATCTTGGGGATCCCCTTATTTTTTGAGGGCGGATCCCTGAGATTGTCATCGCCTTTTGGCGTGTCAATCTTAGGGGTAAGGATACGTTCGAGGCTGGTAATGCCTGGGGTCACCCCTGCGTGTAGCCGACGTGCTACTGGGGAGGCAGGGGGGGGGGGTCCACGTCCCGCCCTTCTTTCTTTGGCATGCCCTGCTGCCGTGGGGCGGTGGCGAAGATGGCACACTTGCGCCACTCGCCCCGCGGGTCCCAGTCCATCCTCCCTCTTGCGTGTAGAGCCAAGCATCTGATTCAGAAGACTCCTCCCGAAAAGCTGGGCCAG